GTGATGTGCACTACAGTGATGTACACTACAGTGATGTACACTACAGTGATGTGCACTAACAGTGATGTGCACTACAGTGATGTACACTACAGTGATGTACACTACAGTGATGTACACTACAGTGATGTGCACTACAGTGATGTACACTACAGTGATGTACACTACAGTGATGTACACTACAGTGATGTGCACTAACAGTGATGTGCACTACAGTGATGTACACTACAGTGATGTACACTACAGTGATGTACACTACAGTGATGTGCACTAACAGTGATGTGCACTACAGTGATGTACACTACAGTGATGTGCACTACAGTGATGTACACTACAGTGATGTGCACTACAGTGATGTGCACTACAGTGATGTACACTACAGTGATGTACACTACAGTGATGTACACTACAGTGATGTGCACTACAGTGATGTACACTACAGTGATGTGCATTACAGTGATGTACACTACAGTGATGTACACTACAGTGATGTGCACTACAGTGATGTACACTACAGTGATGTACACTACAGTGATGTGCACTACAGTGATGTGCACTACAGTGATGTGCACTACAGTGATGTACACTACAGTGATGTGCACTACAGTGATGTGCACTACAGTGATGTACACTACAGTGATGTACACTACAGTGATGTGCACTACAGTGATGTGCACTACAGTGATGTGCATTACAGTGATGTACACTACAGTGATGTACACTACAGTGATGTACACTACAGTGATGTGCACTACAGTGATGTGCACTACAGTGATGTACACTACAGTGATGTGCACTACAGTGATGTACACTACAGTGATGAACACTACAGTGATGTGCACTACAGTGATGTGCACTACAGTGATGTGCACTACAGTGATGTGCACTACAGTGATGTACACTACAGTGATGTGCACTACAGTGATGTGCACTACAGTGATGTGCACTACAGTGATGTACACTACAGTGATGTGCACTACAGTGATGTACACTACAGTGATGTGCACTACAGTGATGTGCACTACAGTGATGTACACTACAGTGATGTGCACTACAGTGATGTACACTACAGTGATGTGCACTACAGTGATGTGCACTACAGTGATGTGCACTACAGTGATGTGCACTACAGTGATGTACACTACAGTGATGTGCACTACAGTGATGTGCACTACAGTGATGTACACTACAGTGATGTGCACTACAGTGATGTACACTACAGTGATGTACACTACAGTGATGTGCACTACAGTGATGTGCATTACAGTGATGTACACTACAGTGATGTGCACTACAGTGATGTGCACTACAGTGATGTACACTACAGTGATGTGCACTACAGTGATGTACACTACAGTGATATGCACTACAGTGATGTACACTACAGTGATGTACACAACAGTGATGTACACTACAGTGATGTGCACTACAGTGATGTGCACTACAGTGATGTGCACTACAGTGATGTACACTACAGTGATGTGCATTACAGTGATGTACACTACAGTGATGTGCAATACAGTGATGTACACTACAGTGATGTGCACTACAGTGATGTGCACTACAGTGATGTGCACTACAGTGATGTACACTACAGTGATGTGCACTACAGTGATGTGCACTACAGTGATGTGCACTACAGTGATGTGCACTACAGTGATGTACACTACAGTGATGTACACTACAGTGATGTACACTACAGTGATGTGCATTACAGTGATGTACACTACAGTGATGTGCACTACAGTGATGTGCACTACAGTGATGTACACTAACAGTGATGTACACTACAGTGATGTACACTACAGTGATGTGCACTACAGTGATGAACACTACAGTGATGTACACTAACAGTGATGTACACTACAGTGATGTACACTACAGTGATGTGCACTACAGTGATGAACACTACAGTGATGTACACTACAGTGATGTGCACTACAGTGATGTGCACTACAGTGATGTACACTACAGTGATGTACACTAACAGTGATGTACACTACAGTGATGTAGTGCACATCACTGTAGTGTACATCACTGTAATGCACATCACTGTAGTGCACATCACTGTAGTGTACATCACTGTAGTGTACATCACTGTAGTGCACATCACTGTAGTGTACATCACTGTAGTGCACATCACTGTAGTGCACATCACTGTAGTGTACATCACTGTAGTGCACATCACTGTAGTGCACATCACTGTAGTGCACATCACTGTAGTGCACATCACTGTAGTGTACATCACTGTAGTGCACATCACTGTAGTGTACATCACTGTAGTGCACATCACTGTAGTGCACATCACTGTAGTGTACATCACTGTAGTGCACATCATGTATGTACACTACAGTGATGTGCACTACAGTGATGTGCACTACAGTGATGAACACTACAGTGATGTACACTACAGTGATGTGCACTACAGTGATGTGCACTACAGTGATGTGCACTACAGTGATGAACACTACAGTGATGTACACTACAGTGATGAACACTACAGTGATGTGCACTACAGTGATGTACACTACAGTGATGAACACTACAGTGATGTACACTACAGTGATGAACACTACAGTGATGTGCACTACAGTGATGTACACTACAGTGATGTGCACTACAGTGATGTGCACTACAGTGATGTACACTACAGTGATGTGCATTACAGTGATGTGCACTACAGTGATGTGCACTACAGTGATGTACACTACAGTGATGTGCATTACAGTGATGTACACTACAGTGATGTACACTACAGTGATGTGCACTACAGTGATGTGCACTACAGTGATGTACACTACAGTGATGTGCACTACAGTGATGTACACTACAGTGATGTACACTACAGTGATATACACTACAGTGATGTACACTACAGTGATGTGCACTACAGTGATGTGCACTACAGTGATGTACACTACAGTGATGTGCACTACAGCGCTGTGCACTAAAGTGATGTACACTACAGTGATGTGCACTACAGTGATGTGCACTACAGTGATGTGCACTACAGTGATGTACACTACAGTGATGTGCATTACAGTGATGTACACTACAGTGATGTGCACTACAGTGATGTACACTACAGTGATGTGCACTACAGTGATGTGCACTACAGTGATGTGCACTACAGTGATGTACACTACAGTGATGTGCACTACAGTGATGTGCACTACAGTGATGTACACTACAGTGATGTGCACTACAGTGATGTACACTACAGTGATGTACACTACAGTGATGTGCACTACAGTGATGTACACTACAGTGATGTGCATTACAGTGATGTACACTACAGTGATGTACACTACAGTGATGTGCACTACAGTGATGTGCACTACAGTGATGTACACTACAGTGATGTGCACTACAGTGATGTACACTACAGTGATATACACTACAGTGATGTACACTACAGTGATGTGCACTACAGTGATGTGCACTACAGTGATGTGCACTAACAGTGATGTACACTACAGTGATGTACACTACAGTGATGTGCACTACAGTGATGTGCACTAACAGTGATGTGCACTACAGTGATGTGCACTACAGTGATGTACACTACAGTGATGTGCACTACAGTGATGTGCACTACAGTGATGTGCACTAACAGTGATGTGCACTACAGTGATGTGCACTACAGTGATGTGCACTACAGTGATGTGCACTACAGTGATGTGCACTACAGTGATGTGCACTACAGTGATGTACACTACAGTGATGTGCACTACAGTGATGTACACTACAGTGATGTACACTACAGTGATGTACACTACAGTGATGTGCACTACAGTGATGTGCACTACAGTGATGTGCACTACATCTACACTATAAGCCTGTAACCTGGCGACCTCTAGTGTGAAAGCCGAGACACAAATTAAATCAGTGTTTGTCATTCATGGAGTATTTAATACATATATAATGTGTTTGCATAAATAAAGCCCTGCATATAATACATATAAAAGTAAATTTGACATTGTTTTGTAATGATTGCAAAGATCATAAAAAGAGTAGTAAGTAAGTGGAATAAGAACATTATATGATAAACTCTACTAGCCCAATAAAACGTATTAAAAGTTGTAAATTAAAAGCTGTAACTTTGTTGTATTTTTTTAACTTAATAAACACCAGGTTTTTTTGTGGATTTCCCTAAAATGGAAAATCCCTAGTGTACTGTAGTGTAGTGTACTGTAGTGTACTTTCAGTTTTATTAGCGATGAAATGGGAATGTTGTATCGCAGTATTAGCGCCCTCTTGTGGACATTATGAAGCACGCACACGCACACACACACACACACACACACACACACACACACGGGTGAGTGTTATCATGTGTGTTTGAGTGAGAATGATCATTACTGCAGATCAATAGCACACAGTGGGCTAGTTTATCTCAGTTTATCAGCTAATAACGCCGCTGAACTGCTCTTGTGTAAAAACATCACGGTTTCATTATAAGTTACGTCATGATTTCCTAAAGAAAATATTTTTAATGTAATTTTTTAAGTTCCATGTTATTTTTTTATTTTTGTTTTTATTCATGTATTGTATGTTTAATTTCGATTGAAACAATCTGTTACTGTAATCTCCTGTTATCGCTGCTTTGAAGCATCTATTGTTAAAGCGCTGTATAAATGAAGGTGAAATTGACTTGCTTTAAATGTTTTATGATTACATATTTATTACTTTATATTTACTGCCTTGCTTTACCTTGAGTTTCTTATCCTATTTGTGTGTGTGTGTGTGTGTGTGTGTGTGTGTGTGTGTGTGTGTGTGTGTGTGTGTGTGTGTGTGTGTGTGTGTGATACATGTCCCCCTGTGATCTTTGTTCAATAAATCATTTATTTTTAAAACAAACAATGCGCTTTGCGCGAGGGCGGTACTTCCCGTCAGAGCCACGCCCACCGAGCGGAGCCACGCCCACACGCGCCTCTAGTGAGCCCGTATGATCAGCGCGCGCGTCACTCGCGCACTCGCTCGCGCGCTCCCGGTAACATCAGCGCGTGTGTCGCAGCTCAGGGTGTCGTGTGTAATATGGACGGTGGCGGGTGTGCACGGGCTCCGCTGGACCCGGGAGATTCTCCCGCGAAGCGTCAGGCGGTGAAGAGACACCATCACAAACACAACATCAAACACCGCTACGAGTTCCTGCAGAGCCTCGGGAACGGCACGTACGGGCGCGTGAAGAGAGCCGTGGACCGCTCCGGGAGAACGGTGAGAAACATCGCGAGATTACACTGCATATCGTTCATATATTCATCAACATATTAGACTCGACGCACTGTTTTAATATTAATGATATCAGTATTACTCCTCAATAAATAAAGAGTAACCGGCGATTTAGTATTCATCAATGTGTTTTTTATTATTTATTAATAACAGTGTTAGAATATACAAGAGTAAATAAATCTTTTTTTTACTGTGGTATTTAATTATTTATGAATAACATTATAATATTTTATATATATATATATATATGAGTAAATAAATCGTTCTACCTGATTTATGAATAATATTATTATATATATATATAGTAAATACATTTTTCTAACTGTGGTCATCTATTATTGATTAACAATATTACAATATACAAGAGTAAATAAATCTCAGTTTCTAACTGTGGTATTTTATTATTTACAAATAATATTATGTTATACACTACCGTTCAAAAGTTTGGGGTCAGTGAGAATTTTATTTTTATTTTTTGGAGGAAAGAAATCAATACTTAATTTGATCGAAAGTGACAGTAAAGACATTTATAATGTTACAAAAGATTCTATTTCAAACAAACGCTGTTCTTTTGAACTTCCTATTCATCAAAGAATCCTAAAAAAAAAAAAAAAAACTGTACAACTGACAGACCAACAACTGTTTCAACATTGATAATAATAATAAATGTTTCTTGAGCATCAAATCCTCATATTATACTGATTTGTGAAGGATCGTTTGACACTGAAGACACTGACACTGGTGATGCTGAAAATTCAGCTTTGATCACAGGAATAAATTACACTTTACTAGATATTCACACAGAAAACAGCTGATTTACACTGGAATAATATTTAATACTATAACTGATTTTTGTTGTATTTTTAATCAAATAAGCGCAGCCATGGTTAGCAGAAGAGAATTCTTTTAAAAGTATTTAAAATCGTACCGACCCCAAACTTTTGAACGGTAGTGTATATGAGAGATCATTAATATTAAATTACTGGGAGAAGTGTAATATTTCATTGGTTATATGTACGACTGAAATGATTATTAGATCTATCACACTGTTTCAATACTCATTATAAAAGACTCATGAATAATACAATAACACCAACACATAAATAGATTCAATCAATAATTAAAGTAATTTATTATTCATGACTTGTTGTATTTATGAATAATATTATAATATCATTGATAATAAATTACTGGGAGATATCTAATATTTTATTGTTGTTGTTTTTTTGTACGACCACCACACTATTTTAACATGAATTATGTTAATAATAATAGTAGAACGCATTGATCTACAGAATAAAGGCTGAAAGATGATTGATGTTGAGGATCGTGTTGTTTGTAAAGCCTCGGCAAACAGGTTTACTGTGTATCGCCCGCGGCTCACACACACACACACACACACATTCCTCTCGATCTGGGGTCAGACCTGGCTCTCCGTGACCTCTGACCCCGGGTCATGACCCATCCGTTTGTTTATCAGGACGAGCTCCTGCAGGAAGTGATGTCACGTTTCTCATGAAAAACAAAAATGTAACTGTAATTTAACGCAATCAACTTGGATATTGAAGTCATTTCAACTTAAATCACTCAAAAAAGTTGAAAGTTGCTTGTTTTGATGAGTTAAAGCAATGTAAAAACATGTTGTCGTAACTTACTGATCATATAATTATTAAAACAAGAACATTTATATGAGAATAAAGCCTTGGTAAAATAATTGTTTTCTGGGAAGATATCTGCGGTAAAGTGTGTTTTCTTACTTTAGAGACACGAAACAAAATATTATTAGATTTATATGCTGTAAAAAATGACATTTTAGCTTTTTTTTAGTGAGTTATACGAGATTCAACTCTTCAACTTTAATATTATTTAAGTTAAAATTACTTGTACAGCCAATTAAATGATTTTTAAACATGTAGTTTTTAGATGGAAAACTATTTTTGCTATGAAAATAACTACACGTCTTATCATTTCAGGCTTATTATCAAATAATAATTATTATTTAATTTACATGTTTTTAATGGGAAAACAAAAAATACTGAAGTTTATATAAACATTCTGTTGTCAAGCACAAACCGCACTGACTTTTAAATATTTAATTATTTCAACATTTGATTTAGGCTAATAAATAAAATAAGATGAATTATTTATAATAAGTTTTACTCTTAATAACTATTCTCTGAGAGCAAATCTTAATATTTCCAGCAGTTTTTCATCCCAAATATATACACTCACCGGCCACTTTATTAGGGCTGTAGTCAACCAAAGAAATCCTTAGTCGACCAAAGTCTTGTCCTGCGCAACGATTAGTCGACTAAAAAAAAAAAAAAAAAACGCGATGTTTTGATTGAACATTTTTTAACAATAGTCATAGAGCATTTATAAAACAACAACGAAAAAACATCAAAAATACATAAAACTATAATAATAATACAATTCTTTGAAAATTAAGTGATTTTTTTTTAACTGCAAAAAGTGAGGAGCACTGTCCTAGGTCTATAGTGATAGTCACAATCGCGCACCTGACCACACCACACGCTACAAAAAATATAACTGCTATCTGCCACAATGAAAAATCCTAACAAAAGCTCTCGTTTATACAGGCTGTATATTCTTCTTTACTTTCAAAGCTATAGGTTAACTTTTGTCCAGCCTATCTAGGCGTTTTAAAACAAACACACACAAAAACCCAAAGAGCCTAAAAAACAATCCTAATAATAATAGGCTTTATTGTAGGACCGCATATAGGTTTATTTTCGTTTTGTTACATTATTTTGGCTATTTTCAAATGCGTCAAGTGTACAAATAAAAACAAAAACATATCAAGAAAACACAATCTATTGAGTCAGCATGATAAAGCCGTTAAAGGGCCTGCTCACGTCTTTTGCGCGCTCAAGTTCGATTTCAAATGTAGGCGCGCGGTGTGCGCTAATGATGGAAGCAACGGTCGCGGTGCGACACGCTCTTTTTTTTTCCAAGTCCGTCCACGCCGCATCGAGATAAAAACATATAGTGTATAAAAACATAAAAACCGAAACAAGTAGCGTTCTAACTGAATGAATACAGCTGAACTACCTATATCCCTCACTGAGCACGAAGCAGCAGCGCAGCCACAGGTGCGAACCGAGTGTTCTATGTGTGTGCGCTAAACTGTGGCGCTGTACAAAATAGCCTAAATTAAAGCATTTAAAGTTGGGGATAAACCATAGGAGTAAATCATTGAAAATTTCTTTCTATTGGTAAAAAAAAAAAAAATGCAACTGGTCGACCAATAAGAATGTCAGTCGACCAAGACGGCATCGACCGATTAGTCGACTAAACGACTAAAGTTGACAGCCCTACACTTTATTAGGTACACCTGTCCAACTGCTCGTTAACACTTAATTTCTAAGCAGCCAATCACATGGCGGCAACTCAGTGCATTTAGGCATGTAGACATGGTCAAGACAATCTCCTGCAGTTCAAACCGAGCATCAGTATGGGGAAGAAAGGTGATTTGAGTGACTTTGAACGTGGCATGATTGTTGGTGCCAGAAGGGCTGGTCTGAGTATTTCAGAAACTGCTAATCTACTGGGATTTTCACGCACAACCATCTCTAGGGTTTACAGAGAATGGTCCGAAAAAGAAAAAACATCCAGTGAGCGGCAGTCCTGTGGGCGGAAATGCCTTGTTGATGCCAGAGGTCAGAGGAGAATGGCCAGACTGGTTCGAGCTGATAGAAGGGCAACAGTGACTGAAATAACCACTCGTTACAACCGAGGTATGCAGCAAAGCATTTGTGAAGCCACAACACGCACAACCTTGAGGCGGATGGGCTACAACAGCAGAAGACTCCACCGGGTACCACTCATCTCCACTACAAATAGGAAAAAGAGGCTACAATTTGCAAGAGCTCACCAAAATTGAACAGTTGAAGACTGGAAAAATGTTGCCTGGTCTGATGAGTCTCGATTTCTGTTGAGACATTCAGATGTTAGAGTCAGAATTTGGCATAAACAGAATGAGAACATGGAACCATCATGCCTTGTTACCACTGTGCAGGCTGGTGGTGGTGGTGTAATGGTGTGGGGGATGTTTTCCTGGCACACTTTAGGCCCCTTAGTGCCAATTGGGCATCGTTTAAATACCACGGCCTACCTGAGCATTGTTTCTGACCATGTCCATCCCTTTATGGCCACCATGTACCCATCCTCTGATGGCTACTTCCACCATGTCACAAAGCTCTAATCATTTCAAATTGGTTTCTTGAACATGACAATGAGTTCACTGTACTAAAATGGCCTCCACTGTGGCCTCCACAGTCACCAGATCTCAACCCAATAGAGCATCTTTGGGATGTGGTGGAAGGGGAGATTCGCATCATGGATGTGCAGCCGACAAATCTGCGGCAACTGTGTGATGCCATCATGTCAATATGGACCAAACTCCCTGAGGAATGCTTCCAGCACCTTGTTGAATCTATGCCACGAAGAATTGAGGCAGTTCTGAAGGCAAAAGGGGGTCCAACCCGTTACTAGCATGGGATACCTAATAAAGTGGCCGGTGAGTGTATATAATATATGTTTAGAAACCGAAAAATAAACCAAAATGCTGACTAAGAAAATGATATTTTTGTGCTGTAATTTTTAAAACTATTCTAGAGTATGATGGTGTAAATGATATAAATGTGGAGAAAGTTGCATTGTGGGCCGCCGCTGCACTTGTGTGCTGTGTTTTAGCGGGTGGAAGTGAGCGGCTTGTTGAGTTGGTTACGGTGTAATGGTTCCTGCTCAGTCTCTCCTCGACGCAGGGGTTCTCCTGCAGGATCATGCGCTTCACTTTCCCAGAGGAAGGACATGATGACGTGATTCTTCTCAGGAAAGAGAGAGAGTTAGTCTGGGCGAGTCGAGACAGGTCTTACTCAGCACTGATAACAGACTCCGACACGCCCGACGGGTCAGGCTATTTATAGAGCTTCCCTGGAAACAAACTGATGGTTTATCGTAAA